CAGCAGGACATAAAAACCTGCACGAACAAGAGCTGCAGGCAGTCGAGGCAACGTTAACCTGGCCCCGTTACTGAAGCAATGCCGCGGGCGATGTCTGCTCGCTCCGAGGCGAGCGCGGAGGTCACGCTGCTGCGCTGGCTTTGCACAGCGTGAGAGCAGCGGGGATCTCCTCGATGTTAAAAGAAGGCAGCAAACAAGCCGCAGGATTTGGGGTGTTTTGGTTCGGTTTTGTTGTGATGCTCATTATTTATCACCGCTGATCAGATTAGGCCAGCACAGGCTTTTGCGAGTTAGTCCCTGGGCACACAGTGCTTGACACCGAGTCGGAACCGCTCGGTATGAAGTGACCAGGTTGTTTTCAGAGGTCATTTTGAGCCAAATTCAAATGGAATGAAGCAATTTGAACCATGAAAAGGGGACAAATGGATAATCTGAAGAGTTACTAATAGCAAGCGAGGAATTATCCTAACAATGGCCTCGTGACTGACTCTCCCAGATCGTTTTCCATCCCATTTGGGCCTCTCTTACCCCTTGCTGGAGCTCGCCTGTGGATGCTGCAGCCCCCCTGGATGAGAGGCTGTCCCTGGCCTGTCTGCTCGCTGCCTGACACAAAGCAGCCCCTGTCTTGCCTTGAGGTTTCCCTGCCCAGACGCAATGCAAACAGGGAGGACGAGCACCGCTACCACCGCTTGGCTTTAAGGTTCGGATGGAAGACAGTGAGGAGGCCAACGAGCAGCGGCGATGGCCGGTCTCAGCCCTGCGGGGGGGGATGCAGCCCCCGGGCCGTGCTTGTGGGTTACCCACTGCAGACCTGGGGCGGCGGGGGGGCTCTTCCAGGCTGAAATAGCTTTGAATAAAACCTGAGCTGCTGGGGGCCAGGGGATTCAGCATCTCCATGAAGCCCCCTCCGCCTGGGTCATCGGTCGGCTGTGTGGGACCCCCGGGCTGTGTGGGACCCCCGGGTGGTGGGGTGAGCCTGGGGGTGTGATCTGGGAATCCCCCCCGGGGGTCCCAGCCCACAG